CGCCGCGCATGCGTGGTTCCGCCCCCTGCGCCGGCCGAGGCGTAGCTGGCAAGCGGCAGAGACGGAGCAGGCCGACCACCAGCTGGCCCAGCTCAAGGGAGGTAAGGCACCCGCCGGAAAAGGGGAAAAAAATGGCGGACAGCCTTGCTTGGCGACCCCCGTGAAATGGTCGATCGACCCCAAATGGGGTCACGACCCATAGGTTGAGAACCGCTGCCTTAGCCCCAAGTCCCGGCGCATGTTCCGAAAAAGGTTTGGGATCTGGAGTAGTCACATCAACTACTGCGGTATCCATTAGGTCCAGCCGATCCTCAGGGGTGATGGGAATTGCAGGCAGTCCTCCGCTTACGACCACAAGCGAGCCCAACGTTTCTCTTGCTAAGTGAAACATTTGTTAAGTGAATTCTGCCCCATTTTTCAACCATCTTTTGCCACCGTTGTTAAGCGAGTCACTGCAGTCGTTTAAGTTAGTAGCATGGTCATTAAGTGAATCTGACTCTCCCACTGACTTTGCTTATCAGAAGCTTGCAAAACGGGATCGATCGCGGGACCACGAGACATAGGAACCACTTGGCAAGCATCTGAATTTTGATCATGTGACCATGGGGATGCTGCAACAGTTGTTAAGTGTCAAAAACGGTCATAAGTCACTTTTTTCAGTGCTGTTGTAACTTTGAACAGTCACTAAATGAACTGTTGAGGACTACCTGTATAATCCCAAACACCCAAAGAATACCATTTTAGAATTAATTCTACATGGTATGCTTATCAGATACTTTATCGGTTTTGAAAACCACCACTCAGCTTTCCCTACTGCTGTTTTTCTGGAGGATATCAAATTGGAGAAGGTTATTGTACAAGTGGCCATAGTCACTGTAGTGAGGATCTCTGGTTCCTTCCCAGTGTACTCCATCTTCTCTTATTAACCTGATTCTATTGAAATGGGTAAGCCATTGTGCAGAATTTCTGAGTTGCCTTGTGTTACCTCTGGAACTGAATTCATCCCCCAATAGTCCACAAATTAATAGCTGCCCTGAATTAATATTAGCAATATCGTAACACTATTTTTTTCCTCTCTATTTTTCTTTTATTCAAAACATGAAAGTAAAATGTGTGTGCCTGCTTTCCAAGAGAAGAGGAGTTATTATCTTTGAAATGCATTTATCAGCATTCAACCAAGGGGGACAATTTTATGTATATGTTGGTTTGGTTTTGTCAATGGACTTTTTTGTAATATTGTTTTATTTTTGTATTGTTTGTTGTATTTTAGTAATACTATAACATTTTTGACTAGCATTCCAAACCATAATTCTAAACTTCCTAATTCTGCTTAACCAGCTCATCCTAAAGTTCAATAGCTTGGCAAAGAAGTCAGAGGCAGTTGCACATGTTCAGGATGTACCCGATCAGAATCTACCCATTCAGAATATGTGAAATTACTTTTGAGTAGGTTTATGAATCAGAATAGATAATATAAAAAAAATTATATTATCTATTCTGATTCATAAACCTACTCTATTTTCTATTTTAAAAAATGAACTTAACTTGAAAGAATGGCAGAGAGACTTGAATCGCTTTATTTGGGAAGGCAAGAAGGCTCGTGTTAAATTCAAGATTATTCAAGATGTTAGAGAACGTGGAGGACTTAAAGCTCCAAATTTGACACTTTACTATGATTCTTGTGCATTGACTTGGATGACTGACTGGATTAATTTATCTAANTTGCAGTTAGAAGTTGTCCATCACTAACACTACCCTGGGCTCTTCTATCATCTGATCAATTTCGGGAAGTTAGCAGAGGAACGTTTCCCCGTAATCTTCTAGCGATGCAGAGAAAGATGAATAACCTCAATTCTTGCTAGGAAACTGCCTTAATATATCTGAATTATATATATTATATATATATTTTAAAAGTTCTCTTTATCATCGGGACAAGATTTGGGCTTACCCAGCGTGATGAGTAGCAGCGCCGTGCCCGGTCGGAGTGCCATTGTCGCCGCTGTGGCTGCCTTGTTTAGGGGCTCCGAGTAAAGTGGGTCGCCGCCACCGGCAGCCCGCCCATTCCTCTTCCCCGGGGAGGAGACGGGGGGCTTCTCGACCTCCCGCCGAGAAAGACAAGGCGGGAATCGACCCTGGCCACGCTCCGCCGGCGCTTCCGCCCCGCGGGGAAAGGTACAGCGATCCCCCCTCGGTGCGCGCTTGCTCTGCCTCTGCTCTCGCTCCGGAGGGCCGGGCTCTCTGGCGCTGAGGGCAGGGCAGACCTCGCCCAGGTGCTTTGCGGAACGGCCAGGCGAGAGGGGCACGGAGGAGCAGGAGGAGGTCGCTGGTCGAGGGAGGCAGGGAGGGAAGAAGAGGGACAGGGCAGCACAAGCCCCCTTCCCAGCAAATCGAACGGAGTCCATTCCGATCAGCTCCAGCCATGTGACCTTAGCCCAGTGGTTCTCAACCTTTTTAATGCCGAGACCCCAACCGGTCATAAGTCGAGGACTAAACCGGTCATAAGTCGAGGACTAAACCGGTCGTAAGTCGAGGACTACCCAACCGGTCGTAAGTTGAGGACTTTCCCTGCCCAGGAGCGCCGCACATGCGTGGTTCCGCCCCCTGCGCCGGCCGAGGCGTAGCTGGCAAGCGGCAGAGACGGAGCAGGCCGACCACCAGCTGGCCCAGCTCAAGGGAGGTAAGGCACCTGCCGGAAAAGGGAAAAAAATGGCGGACAGCCTTGCTTGGCGACCCCTGTGAAATGGTCGATCGACCCCAAATGGGGTCACGACCCATAGGTTGAGAACCGTTGCCTTAGCCCCAAGTCCCGGCGCAGGTTCCGAAAAAGGTTTGGGATCTGGAGTAGTCACATCAACTACTGCGACATCCATTAGGTCCAGCCGATCCTCAGGGGTGATGGGAATTGCAGGCAGTCCTCCGCTTACGACCACAAGCGAGCCCAACGTTTCTCTCGCTAAGTGAAACATTTGTTAAGTGAATTCTGCCCCATTTTTCAACCACCTTTTGCCACCGTTGTTAAGCGAGTCACTGCAGTCGTTTAAGTTCGTATCATGGTCGTTAAGTGAATCTGACTCTCCCACTGACTTTGCTTATCAGAAGCTTGCCAAACGGGATGGATCGCGGGACCACGAGACATAGGAACCACTTGGCAAGCATCTGAATTTTGATCGTGTGACCAGGGGGATGCTGCAACAGTTGTTAAGTGTGAAAAACGGTCATAAGTCACTTTTTTCAGTGCTGTTGTAACTTTGAACAGTCACTAAATGAACTGTTGAGGACTACCTGTATAATCCAAAACACCCAAAGAATACCATTTTAGAATTAATTCTACATGGTATGCTTATCAGATACTTTATCGCAGGGCTTTTCAACCTTTTCACCCATTGTACCACTTTTAGGATATGGCAATATCCAAGGACCACCAGTCGCCTAGCAAGGTGTCAAAAACTTGATGACCCCCCCCAAAAGGAAAAAAGTGATAAAGTACAGGTAGTCCTCGACTTACAACAGTTCACTTAATGACTGTTCGAAGTTACAATGGCACTGAAAAAAGTGCCCCCCAAGTCACAGCCGAGCAAGACACCTGTCTGCCCACCCGGCGGCACTCTTCCTCCTGTCCGAGGTTTTCATTGTTGTGAGCATTTCTGTTGGGGATTGGCAGCGGAGGTGGGGTGGGGGGTGTTTGGTTTTTATTCCACTCGTCTGCTGGGTGGTTGCAGCAGGTTTTGGTCACTTCACATGACCCTGGGACACTGTGACCTGGCTGGAGCCTGGCGCTGATCCTGGCACTTCCGCTGAGCCCTGACAGCCCTGCAGCTCCAGCCATCTCTTGCTCAGGCTTGTGCAGTGCTGCCACCAGTTCAGCTCATTCCCCTCTTTTCTAGGATGGTCGCGTACCACCTGCTAGGTGTCAATGTACCACAGGTGGTACCCGTACCACTGGTTGAAAAGCCCTGCTTTATCGGTTTTGAAAACCACCACTCAGCTTTCCCTACTGCTGTTTTTCTGGAGGATATCAAATTGGAGAAGGTTATTGTACAAGTGGCCATAGTCACTGTAGTGAGGATCTCTGGTTCCTTCCCAGTGTATTCCATCTTCTCTTATTAACCTGGTTCTATTGAAATGGGTAAGCCATTGTGCAGAGTTTCTGAGTTGCCTTGTGTTACCTCTGGAACTGAATTCATCCCCCAATAGTCCACAAATTAGTAGCTGCCCTGAATTAATATTAGCAATATCGTAACACTTTTTTTCCCTCTCTATTTTTCTTTTATTCAAAACATGAAAGTAAAATGTGTGTGCCTGCTTTCCAAGAGAAGAGGAGTTATTATCTTTGAAATGCATTTATCAGCATTCAACCAAGGGGGACAATTTTATGTATATGTTGGTTTGGTTTTGTCATATTGGTTTGGTTTTGTAATATTGTTTTATTTTTGTATTGTTTGTTGTATTTTAGTAATACTATAACATTTTTGACTAGCATTCCAAATCATAATTCTAAACTTCCTAATTCTGCTTAACCAGCTCATCCTAAAGTTCAATAGCTTGGCAAAGAAGTCAGAGGCAGTTGCACATGTTCAGGATGTACCCGATCAGAATCTACCCATTCAGAATATGTGAAATTACTTTTGAGGAGGTTTATGAATCAGAATAGATAATATAAAAGAGATGCCTCTAGCCAAATTGCAGGAACATTTCTAATTACTAAAATGTCTTAACTCAGCCTTAACTCCTATTAATCCTGCTTTTGAAGTCCTCAGTAGCCCTATTTCAGATGCTCGGTGCAGTTAAAGCAAAAGATTAAGGCTGATTTTAGTCTTCTGCTTCTGATCCTCACGAAACATGTTGGTATTGATTGAACTGTCTCTCCTTCAGAGCATCCTTTGCATGCATCCTGTTGAGCTGTAAGATGGCCCACAGCTCTGGGAGAGATTTGCTGGCTCTGGTACCTGCCTCTAATAGCAGCTCAATTTGTAGGAGGTGGTGGCAAGATGCCAACTTAACTTGCAGCCTTTTCAATTCTTTTAAACTGCTATTAAAAAGATAGGCACTCTTAGATCATTGACTGGAAGAGCACAATATCCTAGATCAGTGGTTCTCATCCTTTTCTTCCGTGGACCACTGATTGAGAACCACTGTCCTAGATATTTCCAGCATTAGTGCCCTGGGGAGCCAGTGTGCCTCAGACAATTTCTTTAGTTTCCTGCTTTATCTGACTTTTTTTTTGTTACTAAAATAATAATTTTTGAAATAAGGTTCCTAACTGCCAATCTTCAGCATCAAGTTTCTTTGTAAGAGGTTTCTAGATGTATGGCTCCAGTTGAATCCTTTGGCTAGAAATGTATACACTTGTCTAGGAAAACAGCAAAGGTAAACAGGTAGGAAGCATGGATGGGGGGAATCAAAATTTAGACAGAAGTCTAGTAAATCAGTGCTTTGTAGGTGCTTATGTTTCTTATGGCCAGCATGTTATGCATAGGAGTTCTTAAATTATCATTTCCAAATGTGCCATTATACATTCTGTTGGATCTATGTCTTCAAGTCAATGTTGATTCCTGGCAATTGCCTGGACTAGTCCTTGTAGTTTTCTTGACAAGGTTTCAGAAGCGTTTTGCCATTGCCTACTTCCTGGGTCTGAGAGAGGATGGTTGACCAAAGTCACGCAGCTAGCTTCAATACCTAAGACAGGACTGAAATTCACAGTCTCCAGGTTTCCAGCCTTTAACCACAATACCAAACTTGTCCTCATAATTAATCCTATAAAAGCTTAGAGATTCCTACACAATGGTAAAATATGATTGGCTCACTGTGTTGCACAAATAGAGGCAATTGGGATTAATCAGTAAATCGTGATCCAGTTAAGGCTGCTGTATTAGAGTAATGCTCTTTCCTGGCTAAGTGACAACCCTGTTCTGGGCATATTTTTTTGAGGGAGGTGCTTAAGAGCTCACTTTAGCCTCTCCAGTATAATTTCTGTTACATGTAAATGATGTTGATGCAAGAGAGAAGTCATTTCTACATTCCAGCTGGTGCCCATGATTACATTGCACAAAGCAGCCATACAAAAACACTAAATATCCTAAATATTTAGGATATCCTTTAAATATCCTAAAATGTTGGCCCATTGAGGAACCTGAGGTCATTTATTGATGAGAAAACCCTAGAGAGCAGACAGTTTTATTCTGCATACACACCGATGAGTACTAAGTCTATTTAATAAGCAAATCATATCACATTTTCAGATCAAGGAAATTATCTTGCAAAATCAGAATACTAAGAGAAATGTGTTTTCATAGAATTAGAGAGTTGGAAGAGACCTTAGAATCTAGCCCATCCCTCTGTTAAGTGC